TTGTGATGGAACCGAATTAGCCCGCTAAAATTCGATTTAAATATTCCCGAAAGCGACCCTGGCGCGAACAAAAAAAAGGTCAAGGTTGCAATTTGTTTCGTTTCCGTGGAACACGTGTTTTTTTTCTTCTCTGCTCTACATTGAAATGGGCCATAATTTACAATAAAAGTGTCAAATATTACGCTGTGCGAGGGGACTTAATGATCCATATCGACCGACGGCTCGAGGCACGTTCGATATTAACATTTGTTTTCGTCTAGGATTTGCCTACAAAGGGGAAATTTAGACAGAAGTATGTGTGCTTTTGTTGAGACCAGGAGTAAATCTTTACGTTGCGAATAGTGAGTGCAGCTTCGACAATTACAAAGGTGATGTACTCGTTTTATTTATCTCTATATGTCTATTGCATCCCTCTAATAATGTTATGATCGTGTTCGATTATTTGCCAATTTAACTTTATTCTCGTACAGCATTGATTATTGCCATTTATAACACCTTCCAGATACGAATTGCAGTTTTAATTATACTGGTCCTACTGTTAATCACTGACCGATTTATGTGTTTTTATTTATATTTAGATACTGTATGTTCCCTTAGGGGCGATACCCAATACAAGTATGCAGAACTACCTTTTAATTTTATAATTGAATTTATTGCAGCACATTTCGCTTTCGTTTACTGAGTTGTCACACTATGCGTTTTTACCGCTCCCTCTAAAACGGATGCGGTTTGACGGGATGATAATATCACACGTTAATAAATGGTACCAGTCACATATATGCGGTTTTGCCGCACCTGGATGCAACCGCATCATATGGCTGTCAAACCGCATCCGTTTTAGCAGGAGCGGTAAAAACGCATAGTGTGACACCACACTTATTACCTGATTATGTTACTGTGTATTTACAGGGTGCCTCATCTGGGGGCGAGTGACGTACGTTAGGTGGTTGATTGTTACATATTGCACTTGGCATTGTGAATTAATGACTTGATACCAATGTTTGTCACGACATGTTCCTTTGTATTGTTGTAATGTGATTGTACTAAAATGTATGCTCCTACTATTTATTTGAACCGGGTGATTATGTCATTATGATTATTAATATTTGGCGGGGTGACTGGTTTCGAATATTTACTGTGCTATATTTGATATTGATATTTGATACCGATATTTAATATCTCGATTTGACGTAGCAGAGGCTGGCTAAAGTTCAGAACTGACATACGCAGAGATATATATGTTTTATGTACTGTTTTTTTGTGTCTTTGAAAAGAGCCATCTTGCCGATATTGCTAATCAATCCGATTAGTCGATCCCTGACATGTAGTGACCGAATATTGGTTTTGTGTCAGTCTTTGTTATGCCAGTGCAAATATGTTAACTGTCAACGCCTACATGAATTGTGTATATTTTGTTTATAATTATGTATGCGTGCGAGTTTGCCGTTGGTTACTCTGTTATTTATGTTATGTCATGACTTGTCTTTTGATCGGATATTGTCAGTACTCATGGTAGAGAGCCTGGAGTTCGGTAATTTATAACCCGGCATTTTAAGACTAGTGGGTTGGACTGGCCCTAGAGATGTCTGAATGAATGAGTTGGGGTCCCGCTTAGTCGTACATGAGGGCGCTGGCTAGGCCCGGCCTCACTTGCGCAGGGATTCGCTAAAAGCGTGTGGCGTGTTCTCGTTGTGACCTTTTGTTTTGTTAACAATTTGGGGTATCCTTCCTATGTGAAAGGCTCTTCTGAGAGGCCAGCTCAATTTTATCAGGTGTGGTGTGACTTTACAGAAAACCGCCCGCCACTGCACTGAAAATCGAAGTACCTCACTGCGTAAGGCTGGAATTCTGATGACAAAGATACAGTATTTCGCATACAGTACCACCGTGTAAAAGAGCTCTAAGGAAGCTAAAAGGTAACTGGAAATATAAAGTAAAAATCGCGGTTTAGAAATACAATTCTATTTCAGATGCAAATAGAGTAAATAAATAAATACTGCACTATGTGTGCATATTTAGGGTGAGATAAATGAATCAGATCATTGTAATAAGGTAAGAACAAAGAGATCCGAGTTAAATACGTCTATCGCAACCCAAAGTTAAATGACAAATAATGAGACAGGAGGCTTTAAGCGGCGTTACATGGGGCGAACCTGCGCCGCGTTGTCGCAAAGCGCGAGGTGCAATTTTAAGTCAATCAGTCCTCTGAATGGATCCCGAAGACTGAAATTAATCCAATAGCGAAAATCATATCGATCGAGCCACCGTCATGCTGCGGACGAAGGTTTTCGCAGCATTTCGAAGAAAGAAAACAAGAAGCTTGAACATATCCACGGCGTACCAGGATGCCAGAAGCGGCGTAGGTAGGTGCGGATAGCGCCGATCCTGACGAACGGAGTTAGGTCAGAGCCGGGACGTGATGACATGCGGTGGCGACGTCTTGAGCCAAAGCGACCAGCCTCAGTTGCTTATGTAGGGAAGGTAGGCTTGCCCAGGCACAAGTGGTTTTTGCTGGCCCTTGGTGGTGCTTATTAACAATTCGTCGAGGCGTCCGGCGTTGCGGCGAATGGGGCGTTTGCTGGTAGTGGGGTCCTTCCCTGGCGTTCCTAACAACGGCGGGAAGTCTATAGTCGGTCCGTGCATAGTACAGCTGGATGCAAGATAACTCTCCTTGTGAGTGAAAGCCGTGACCCGAACTCGTCTAGAACTGGTGGTGCACAAACGATAAAGGTATTTAGGAACAATCGATGCGAAGTATGTTTTGCGAATCAATGTTTCTTAACTATTTGCTGTACAGGATTGTTACGCTTCAAACCCCATTTACTAATTATGTTATTCTATTGCAGCAAGAACATACCTTAAAGAAAATAAGAACCGTTTCATAATTTAATAAAGATTATTGACTTATTATTTATCCCTTTACCTTTTTCCTTAAGAGGCCAGGAGAGAATTACTAACTGATAGCTATCGGGCGCACATTATACATAATTCCATAACAAGAACCACCCGTAATTTAATTAAGGTATGCGAAGATTAGCCAGAGGTAGGATGGAGTAGAAGAGGTATTTGTAACATCCGTTACAAAATGACACCCAAAAACGGGGCTTACGTATTAGAGTGTTCTGGAGAAGCGATGAAAATAACGGGAAGGACACACAAACAGGAATTGATGCTTCACTTGACCTTCACTGTGGAATACTGTTTGTTGAAATCTAAGAACCTCGTGCGTTGCCGGATGTTTCTACTATCGTTCTGTATTTTAGTTCAAAAAGGTATTTGGGCATTTGCTTTTATGCTTTCAGAGAAATGTATGTATCTGTGCCACTAAATTACATTCCCAACAGTTTCTTTTTGAATCAAACAGCATAGATAATGTTGTGACGTGTCTTTGGTGGGGCTATAATCAAGTGCGCGGGTTTACATTGTTTTACAACCAGTCTACTTCGTGCAGACACGATGTTATTTTATCAGCGCGTCTGGCTCACAACCGACTGTATTATTTGTGCATATTATTGTAACAGTTCATAACGTATATTCTTATAAATAAATAGTAATCGTATTTACATATCTAACACATTGGCGACGAATAGTGGATACGAAACCATGCTAGAAAACGAAAATAGTGGTGTTTCCCGGCCGGCCTCTGGTGGTCTGATGAGCGTGGGGCACATCGAGCCTTTCAACCCAGAAAACCCAGCGAGTTGGCCCGTCTATGCGGATCGCCTCAATTTCTACTTAGAAGCAAATGGAATAACCGACGATGTTCGAAAAAGAGCCGTTTTGTTAACAATGTGTGGGGCAGAAACCTACGAGATCGTGAAATCGCTCTTATCGCCGGAATTGCCAAGAAACAAAAGTTATGAAGAGATCATTGAAGTACTTGACAAGCATTTTACTCCGAAGCCGTCCGAGATTGTGGAACGATATTTCTTCTACAGGCGAAATCAGGAAGATGGCGAGTCGATTTCCGCGTACATGGCGAAGTTGCGCAAGATGGCGGAGCATTGCCAGTTCGGAAACACGTTGGAGGTCATGCTTCGAGATCGTTTGGTATGCGGGGCGAAGGACAAGAACATACAGCGCCGTCTGTTGGCTGAGAGAGAGCTTACCCTGCAGCAGGCATTTGAGATGGCTGTAGCGTCTGAGACCGCGTCAACTCAGATTACAGAGATTCGAGGGGAACCGACTAAAGGGGAGGTGTCCAAAGTTGCACATTCCTGGGATAGAGGGCGTGCGGAGACGAAAACAAGGAGTTTCGTGAATGTTATTTGTTTTCGTTGCGGAGGGCGCCATGATGCTGAATCTTGCCGATTCAGAAACGAAGAATGTAGAAAATGTGGCAGATCTGGCCATATTCAAAGAGTGTGCAAAACCAAGAAAACGCCAGAGAGGTCAGAAAAGTCAAAAAAAGCCGTGAAAAATGTCACCGAAAGAGAAATGCTGGAGGATGAAGAAGAAGTCGAGTACCTGTACTCCGTCGAAGAAGCAGTAGTCAATCACCTGGAAGAAAATATTGTACCGCCAACTAAAGTGCGTGTGTTGCTGAACGGTATCGCGTGTTGTTTTGAATTAGACTCCGGTAGCGCGTCGACAATAGTAGACTTTAGACAGTACAAGAAATTGTGGCAAAAAGGTGGCCCACGAATCGAGTCGTACGGTAAAATGTTAAAAGACTATCAAGGAAATTTAATCGAACTGATGGGTGCGTGTAAAGTTGAAGCGGAATACGCCGATAATCGCGAAACGCTGACTTTAGTAGTGGTCAAAGAAGATCGCTCCAACATCCTAGGTCGAAGCTGGTTTGTGCCTTTAGGATTCAGTGTCAAAGGTGTCAAGCAGGTGTCGAGTGATAGCGGAAAGGTAACATCAGTTATCCAAGAATTTTCGGAAGTGTTCAAAGACGAACTTGGCGAGTTCAAAGGAAACCCCATTAAGTTTGTATTCCAAGAAAACGTCAGCCCAGTTGTACTGAGGGCGCGTAGGGTACCTTTCGCACTAAAACCAAAAATCGAAGAAGAGTTGGATAAATTGGTTCGCCAAGGGGTACTAGAACCAGTGGAGCATCCTGTGTGGGCAACGCCGATCGTTCCGGTAATTAAGAAGAACGGGGACATTCGCATTTGTGGTGATTATAAATCTACGCTTAATAAATGTCTAAAATCGAATCCCTATCCGATGCCGACGGTGGCAAATTTATTCGCATGCCTGTCCGATGGAAAGTATTTTTGTAAGTTGGACCTGGCACAGGCCTACCAACAACTGAAAGTTGACGAAGAAGCCGCGGATGCTCAAACTATCATCACTCACAAAGGCGCATATCGCGTGAGAAGATTGCAGTTTGGTGTCACGGTGGCCCCGAATTTATTTCAGCGTTTTATTGACACGCGTCTCAACGGAATCACGGGAGTTTTTCCATTTTTCGATGATGTGCTGATAGTCGGAAAAACTGAAATAGAACTGAGTAACCGGTTACACGAAGTTCTTAGGCGTTTCGCGGCCGACGGATTGCGATTGAAAGAAGACAAATGCGTGTTCAACGTGCGGGAAATCGAATTTCTCGGGCACCGAATCGATTCGCATGGCATCCACCCCTCGGAGAAAAAGGTGCGTGCAATTAAAGAAGCTCCTGAACCCGAATCCAAAGAACAGTTGCAAGCGTTTTTGGGGATTTTGTCATTTTATAGTGGGTTCCTAAAAGATCGTGCGACTGTAGCTGAACCACTGTACCGTTTGTTGGACAAGACTAATACCTGGAAGTGGACAAATCGCGAAAGAAACGCATTTGAAGCTGTTAAGAATTTAATCGCGTCGGACAAAGTTTTAGTGCACTACGAGGAATCGAAACCGATCGTGTTGACTTGTGACTCATCCAGTTTCGGCATTGGTTGTGTGTTAGGACATCGTTGTGAAAACGGTCAAATCGCCCCTATCGCGTTTCACTCAAAAACCTTATCGAAAACGGAGCGTGCATACGCGCAGCTCGACCGCGAAGCTTTATCGTTAATTCTCGGAGTCAAAAAATTCCACAATTATCTCTATGGCCGACATTTCGAGCTTCAGACCGATCATAAACCCTTATTGGGAATTTTAAGCAAGGATAAACCCGTTTCGGAGATGCTTTCGCCGCGAATGTTACGTTGGACTCTTTTCCTGAGTAACTATAATTTTAATTTAGTGTACGTCCCTGGAAAGAAACTTGGGAGCGCAGACGGACTCAGCCGTTTTCCTCTTAAATCCGAAGAGTCCAAGCAAGTAAGTTACGGTGACGTGCTGATGATCGAAAACGCGCCGGAACCGCTGTGGACAGCGGAAGACATTGAAAAATTAACAAAAAAAGACAGGGTGTTGTCGCGAGTTCTTAATTTAGTGCAAAGAGGATGGCCAGATAAAGAAACAGACGTGGAGTTACAGCCGTTTTATACAAAAAGGAACGAGTTGTCGGTCTACCGAAACTGCGTTCTGTTTGGGAATCGTGTAATAATTCCTCTCGAAGGGAGGAAGAAGGTATTACAGGTTTTGCATTCCTCACACCCGGGAATCGTGAAAACGAAGGCCCTAGCCCGCAGTTACGTATGGTGGCCGAATATAGACATAGACATAGAAAAGGTTGTGAACCAGTGTGAAACGTGTCAGCAAACTAGACATTTTCCTGCTAAGGCGCCAATTCATCCGTGGGAATATTCAAGGAATCCCTGGAGCCGTTTACATGTTGACTTTTTTGGACCAATACAAGGTCAGCAATTTTTTATTGTGGTAGACTCGTACACAAAATGGTTGGAAGTGAAATGTGTGAAAACAACGTCATCCGGTTGCGCGATTCAAGTATTACGTGAACTATTTGCTACACATGGTGTGTGTGACGTAATAGTTAGCGATAACGCAACTGCGTTTACCAGCGACGAATTTAAGACATTTTGCAAGCAGAATTTGATAAGACACGTGACGGTTTCCCCTTATCATCCCCGATCAAATGGAGAAGCTGAAAGAAACGTCCAAACCGCGAAGGAATCGCTGAAACGTTTATCCGGAAATTGGTCTCTTAAAATTGCCAGGTTTCTGCACAGACAGCACATTACGCCGTCGTCTAGCACAGGTTACAGTCCGGCCGAACTTTTGATGGGACGAAAATTGCGTTCCTGTTTGGATAAATTACATCCTGATTTAATAGGAGAGAAGTTGAATCGAGAAGTGGAAGAGCGTGTAGAAAACCGGAAAGTTTCAAAATTTGCTGTAGGTGAACCTGTTTTCGCAAGGGATTTTTCGGTGAGTCATCAAAACTGGAAGCCCGCAGTAATAACAAGAACCACGGGACCACTTAGTTATCAAGCAGTCGATAACGATGGAAATTCTATCCGACGGCACGCCGATCAACTGCGAGGTAGGTCAAGTTTATCTGCGGTAAGCAATAACAGATCGCCGGGGTCAACGCCCGCTGTCGATCAATTTGCATTGGAGCGAGAAGTTTCGCCGCAAACGTTCACTGGGGACCTGCCCTTGGCCGACGAGCCCTTATGCGAGGATCCCAGAGCCAGACCGATACGAGAGCGAAGAGCCCCTTCATACTTGACGGATTATCAGTGCTAAAAGGGAGGGGTGTTGTGACGTGTCTTTGGTGGGGCTATAATCAAGTGCGCGGGTTTACATTGTTTACAACCAGTCTACTTCGAGCAGTCACGATGTTAGTTTATCAGCGCGTCCGGCTCATAACCGACTGTATTATTTGTGCATATTATTGTAACCGTTCATAACGTATATTCTTATAAATAAATAGTAATCGTA